ATAAAACATATTAGAGCATGTACAAACTAACCAGCTGTGTCAATCATGTCATCCACCATAACTGCTACTTTTCCCTTCACGTCACCTATCAAATTCATCACCTGCAAAGTAGTTCATGTTATAGAAATGAGTTGCAATATATGTTTCCGTATGGAACTATAAAAAAAAAAGACTTAAAAAGTAAAACTTATGCATAGGTGAATGATGGAAGAAGAAAAGAAAACAGAAAGAAAGGGTGTGTGTGTCATTCTTAAACATCAAGACTTCTGAGAAACAGAGCACAGGGATTGTTCTGAGAAAAATTGTAATACCTTGCAAGGGGGTGGAGGAAGTTTAATGGCTGGGTAGAGATGGTAGAAATGCAATCAAGTAACCATATTTTTCAAGGTGAAGTAGTGACAATGGATATGTCTTGACTCAGAGCTAAACAACAGTTAGAACAACAATAGGAGGTCTTAAGTTAACAAAAAGATTGATATCTCAGATAAAATAGGGTGACGTTACAAATGAAAAGGTCAAGGAGTATCAACTGAGAAACAAGGAGGGGTAGTTTTTAAGATTGATTTCAGAAAAGCGTAGAACCATTGATTGGGGTTTCCTAGATCTTGAGCTGGATAGAAAAGATTTTGGAAGGAGATGGAGGTTGTCGATCAATGGATATTTAGCTCAGTTAATTTTTGAGTTATTATAATAGCTTTTCAGATTTATTTTTGAGCTGGATAGAAAACATTGATTAATGTTTGCGAGAATAATTGGAAGCAGGTGGTAGTCATTGATCGGTGAGTGCCTGAAACTGAAATCAGTTAAATCTTCAGTAAAAATTAATGAAGACCAAAAGGGAGTTTTGGCGCATTTAGAAAGCCTAGCCAGCTGGATCTCCTTTTCCCCGTTTATGTTCATGTTAATAATTTGATGTCGAGTAGGAAAATGGAAAATGGATGCAATCGGTACTAAGTAGCAGGCTACCTATTTCATGTCTATTTGTAGATCCTTGTGTAGGAGAGTGATGAAAGGAGGAAGGATGATTTCATTAGTTGGGATAACATGCAAAGATCTATAGAAAAATTGTCACAAAAGAACCAAATATCTAAAACTCCAAATAATTATAGAATATGCATATTATGAAGAAACAATTACTATTACCTATAACATTTATAAGTTATGATGAAAAAGTTTAAAGAGTCATTGCACTTGTAATATCTAACTTCGGACTCTAGAAAGAACAAATAAAATCAGAGAAAAATCATCGCTTTCACTTGTTACAAGACTTCAAAATCATGACTTGGTAACTCAAGTGCGCTTATCTGTGATCACATTTGGCCTTAAAATATATAATTGTTAAGTTTTCATTTCTTGTGCAACATCATCAGATAAACTTGGTCCCTCGTAGTCTGCATCAGCTTATCTAAGCTTGATATACGATGAGGTTTCACAAAGATTTATCTTTGCAACAATTTCATGTGTCACTTCAAGATATTGTGAGAATAAGAAAATTATAGGAGGTAACTGTAACAACTTCATCTGAATAGTTCGTACCTCTGCCACATTGTGCCCATGTCGTCTTTTATCAACAATGGCTAGGGGAGCGTCAGATAATTTTTTTGCAAATGCACGAGCTCTAGCAACACCCCCAACATCTGGTGAGACCACTACCAAATCATCAGAGCATATAGTCTTGCTGGCGAGGTAATCAAGGATCACAGGCTGGATATACATAAAGGAAAATTACATATAAAAAAGGTGAATACATAAGAGGAAATGTCCAAAAATTAGAACTCCAAAATTAATGCTACTTAGAATCTTATTAATATAATTGTAGCATTGCTTTCTTAAAAGATGTTGAGATAGAAATATCGCTTTCAGCCAATTTTAAATTTCATGTCAATTCAACTTTATTTCATTTCAGGTGGCCAAATAGCATTCTTGTAAGAGTCCAACACCCTGGTCTGTGAACAATGAAACAAAAGAAACCAAATTATTACAGGTCTATTACCTGGCCATATACATGATCCACAGGAATATCAAAATATCCCATAGACTGCCCAGAATGAAGATCACATGCAAGAACACGATTTGCACCTGCTTCTGTAATCAAATTTGCAACAAGTTTGGCTGCAATAGATTCACGCCCTTGAGTCTGGAACAAACACCATTCAAGATAATAAGTAAAACAAACTTGAACTTAAAACTGGTTCAACCCTTACATCCCAATTTCAACTAAAATCAGCTAAGCATTGTGGGATTTGCCACATAATGCATTTGCACATATGTTATTAACTCAGGAATCTAAACTTCTGACTATTCATGATCCTATGTAATAGCCCAACCTATTTCCTGAAATAATTCGCGTATAAATTATATTCAGTCTCAATCTTAATGCTAGTGGGCTGAAATTTCTTAATGGATGTAAACAAACCCGACTTAAGGAATCTATCTTAAGTTTCCCTCGTATATCTACAAACTTAAGATACACATAGATAAATTAATTCTCTACATCATAAATCACAACAGATGATTGACCAAAAATGTTATGGGGAGTAAAGTTAAACCTGATGAAGGTACGATAATTACAAGCAATTAGTTGAGGGACAAGTTTCATGCTATCAACAATAAAATTTTAAAGCCCAGACTCCAACACCAACTTATTTGTACGAAGTTCCTCAATCTACCATAGGAAAAACACAATTAATTCCAGCTCATCTATGATAATTCTTTTTATTCAACAATTGCCGTCCATCAGACTTAAACTCATGACCTCCAGCAAATGGAGACTATTTGAGACTGATGGATGATATTTAATGCAATAACTCTTCATAAAGAAATTTAGTCAAATTTGTATTAGGAGTCTAGGACAACATGCATCAATCATTCCCAGAACCTCATATCTTTTTATGCTCAATATATAATATTATTAAGTTACCTTTCTATCAGCCCTGGCATATCCAAAATATGGAATCACAGCAGTAATATTCTTGGCTGACGCCCTCCGACAGGCATCAATCATTATCAGAAGCTCCATAAGGTTTTCATTTGCAGGAGGGCATGTGGGTTGCACAAGATATACATCACACCCTCTCACACTTTCTTGCAACTGAACATATATCTCTCCATCAGCAAAGCGTTTTATCTTAATCTTTCCAAGTTCCAGACCCATGTTGCAAGCAATTTCCTATCAAAAACACAAAAGTACATCAGACATTCTGCAATCAAAGGATTTATATGTTTACAATACATTATGGCTCCATTTGTTGTAGCTGAAAATAGTTCCATGCAGAAGTTTCTTAAATTATTAATAAATAAATAAACAATTTGATGTTTGTTTGAATGGAAAAATTCCTTGGAAATATGAGCATTTCTTTAGATTGTACCTCAGGAAATGTTTTCTCAAAAAACAAAGAAAGACAGGAAAACTTTTCCCGGTCTGCCAAAGAGCAAAAGATAAGATCAAGAGAGTTTCTCCACTTTGAATAACAAATCACCATATGAAAACAAATATTAATAAACATAAATGGTAAATTTGTTTAAATGAATACCTGAGAAAGCGCAGGGTTTGCAGTGCCGGAAAATATCCTGAGTCTGGTATCGTTCTTGGTAGTTGCATTCACCAAATGCTTTTCCGTGGCCAAAAAGTTGGGCGCCATTTCTTCAGTCTTCAAGAGTGGAGTGGATGGCTTACCATTTGCATATTTCAAAGGCTCTCCCACATTACACCTCTACAATACATTATTCAGAATAAACAAATTTTAATCATATTGACAAAAAAATTGAACTGATAAAGAGGGAAAACCTCCTATTTTCAGACTCGAACGCTCAAATTGAAACTAATTATTCGAAATAAAGAAAAGAATTCTAGACATAGAAAATAATATAATGAAAGAAATGAAATGAAAGCTTATCCTGGAAAAAGAAAGAAAACAAGAAAGAAAAGAAAGCTTTGTAGTGGCTTACCACGCCGTTTGGGGCTGCGATTCGAGAGCAAGACCGGTTAGGGAGAAAAGTGCGAGTGCGTAGAGATTCGCGAGAAGCGAGAGAGGATGGCGAAGCTGAGTGAAGCAGCGAAGTCATTTCTTTGAGAGTAGCAATCAGTTCTAGAGAGAGAGAGAGGGAGAGAGAGAGAGAGAGAGGAGGAGTCTGAATGAGGGTTTAGGGTTTTGGAGGTTTGGGATTTTATTGAAGGTTTAGAGAGCTCATAATTGGCGGAGACTGGTGGTGGAGAGTTTGGTATTTCTCAGCTGTTTCCAGTGGCGCGGGATGTAGTTCAGGTAGTAGAAGAAACGGTGTTAGTTGGCACCATTAACATTTCGTACGGATTATGACAAAATTCCATCTTTAATATTTCTTTTTTTTAGTTAATTTCCTTTTATACCCAAAAAGATTAGGAAGACCACATTTATAGGTACCTTGTCTAACATCCGTGTATTCGCGTAGTGAAAACTTAATCACGAGGATTGTTGAGAGTTTTTTTCCATCACATGAGCAATAGTGACATATGGCTCACATGGATAATTTGTACAATTTAGCTTAGAACATCAAGTGAACAATGTGGCATATCTATGAGAACACTTCCTCGGCCCAGCATGTTGAGACCAGAGCGTGACTAGGGAGCGAGTTCTTAAAAACTCCCATTTGATCGTTGGGGTTCTTAGGAGCTTCCTGTTCATCAACCACATTGATTTTTCCTCCTTAGGCTTCACACCAAGTCTCATACACATACTATCAATGTGTCATAGGAATTTGAACCTGAAACTACTGGTCTGCAAGTGAAGACTCTTTTCAACTCGGCTAGATACTATTGGCAATTACATTAGGGAGTTTAAGTTATCTAAGTTGTGTAAGGTGAAAGGTAAGGAAGTTTGAATTCAGTTACGTTTACCCAATTTATCAATCAATCTAGCTTAGAATTTTTAAGTTATAAAATATGAAACTTTCAAATTTAAATAAATAAATATCGTTATTCTATAGATTTGTATAGTAGTATGATGAGGGATGCAACGCACATATGTTGAAGGAAAAATAACTCCGAAAGTATTATCGAAGTTGCTCTTCAAAATTTGTTACTTCTTCTTGATAAATTTAAGAGGAAAAGTAGAAAAACGCTTCACAGTTACACATGCGACAGACAGACTGCTTCCAAATCAATGGAGGCATTTACTTTAGGCTCAATGCACCTTGTGGTCAAGAGATTGATGGTCACTAAAAGGATGCAGTGAGCAAGCATCCTGCGGTAAGTCCAGCAATCATGACAAAATCCCATACGGTAAAAGCGCAGCAGCCACAATCCTCCCTTCCTCATTGAGTATATTGTAGGTTGATACAGCATTTTTCTGAAACAAAGGAAGACAAGTATTATGAATTTGGTAGTAGAATCACCATTGATACCAAAGCCCATTCCAACTGGAGCACCACCTAAGTTTAATGCAAATAAAAAAGTTATCACAGAGAGTGAATTATAAGCACCCATATATTTCAGGAAGCAAGACGCTTCTGGGGGCTGTAGTATTTGGTTGTGGTCATGGACAAGGTGGACACAACATAGTTACTACAACATCTGAGGTGATATCGGCTTTGCTTAGAAAACTACGTTGGTCATTTATTTGTCAGATGAATCCAAACACTACATGACCATGACAAGCATAATGCAAGAAATAATGAAGTCAGAGAAAAGAAAAAAAAGTAACAACGAAGTATACCGAGTCAATGGCTTCTAATTTCATTCCAGTAGACCGGATGAAGCGTTGTAGTTCAGGACTTACAGGTTCAATGTACCTCCCACAGCCAAGAATCAAAATCTCTGAAATTTCAAAAGAAGCGGTCAATAATGCTACAACAGAACTTATCATTTAAACTGTAGCTGAAAGAAGCTAAATTTCAGAATAAAGAGTAAACCCAGTTATCATATTTCCAGTGATTGTGATGCGATCTAAAAGCTATTAACACACGTGTTGTCATTAGTCATTATTTACTTGGGGACACAAATTTACAGTACAACTTTTTTTTTTGGGTCGAATTTTTTACAGAACTAGATCAAGACCAGTCATTCATTTCTGCATTTGTGAAGTGATATGGAAAAAGGAGGACGGTAGGGATGTGCTACTGTCTCTGCTTTCACCAGGTCATTACCATTATCCTCAGATATGATAGGACTTCACAAAACTACACCATTTGTGTTTCCAGTTTCTAAAATGTTATTTCGTTAAATTTGTTTTCCCATCATCTTCTCAATTCGTTTCCTAACATCCCTTCACCTTCATCTTCGCATCTACACACCAATTATATTTCTCAAAAGGGAGACGGGAACGGTAAGGCATCCTACCTTCCTCTCTCCTTAAATTGTTTTGTTTTTGCAGATGAGAAAGGAGCTGAACTTAGAAGTATGCATGAAGAAGCTCTAAAGCATGTCACATAGACTAGTAGCACAGTATGAAGCATGATCAAAGATGTATCAAAAATCACATTTTCTTTTAAACTGGATATCTGCCCAATATATTGGGAATAAAGCCAAACAACTCAAATGAATGAGAAAGCTAGTTTCTGCACTTATGACTTTGTACTTATGCAGAATGTACTTATGAGTCATGACCTTGTACTGAATAGATGTTTTCCTAATGATCCGTATATGATTATTAGCTGGGTTCCCTAGGATTTTTAAACAATTTTTTTTTAATAGAAACATTGTATTGATAAAAAGAAGGATAAGCAATCCTCCTTACCAAATACAGACAGAAAAGATCAGACTCCTTAGAGTCGAATGATGTTAAACAAAATTGGAAAACAAAGCTAAAAGCCACAATCCAGGATTGAATATAAGAAAACTGAGATGATATCTTAAATTGAAACATTTAAGCTACTTGTAGAAAGGAAATTTGCCCCTCTAAATTGTCTATATGTCTATTCAGAATAATCTGCGGGGGACAACCTAAAACAAGGTACATATGAAGCATAACAGGATTCAAATGCAATTTGAAATTTACCTGGCACAGGTCGCACAGTTTGGAAGATGGACAGGCTGAATCACAGCATAAAATCCATTAAATTGTCAGTTACTTCTGCCTCACAATTAACATGTTCCACAGTTCTAGTAACTAAAACAATTTCATGCATTCATACATAAATGTACACAGATGCATATATACATGTATCATGTATGGATGGAAAACTAGAACAATAATTTAAACATCCACTTCGATTTTTTGGGGTGCAATTTTCTCAATAAAAGAAAGAAAAATAAAATTGAAATGCTAATAACAACCTTGAGCCATATCCTTCACATGTTCTAAATATTATTCTTTAAGTAAATATTTTTACTAAGAACAAACAAGAGAAAGAAAGAATGATAGAGTAAACACCTATCAGGAGTGATTTCAGAGAATTTCTTTGGAACCCAAGACATCAACATGTTCCCAACACAAAGCAAGCTTCCTTCATAGTCCACCCCATTCACTGTGAACCCTGAGTCCGTGTACCTTCACACAGAGAGTGGCAAAATGGTAATTAGTGGTAGTTGTGGAAGAGCCAAAAACCAAAGAAAGAAGACACAACAGGAGAATACCGTTGAAATCGAAGCTGGTCATTAGGGACGTTGTCAATGAGATTGATCTGATCGTAGAGAGAGAAGGCGCGTCTAAGCGAAGGCAGCGATTGTTGGCATGTGGGTTTTGGCTGGGCTTCCTTTTGGAGGCTCCGAATGAGGTTCGGCAGTCTTGCTCTCGTCCCCATTTATGCCTCTCTCTGTGTGGCAATGAAATGGGTTGGTTTGCTTTGCTTTGTATGCACTATTTCAAACATGGAGTTCTAAAAAGACCCAGAAATCAAAATCTCTGAAATTCATCAAAGAAATTAGTTTTAGCTGAAAAATTCAAGAGGGAATCAAAGAAGATGAAAAATTAAACATGTGTTGAGTTCAAATCTAAAAAATGTTGAAGCGGTTCTTACCTTGACGATTTTTATTGGTTGGATGACTGGTAGCAAAGCATCGTAGAGGTTACCATAGAGCTCAACGGTGGGAATATACAACAGCAGAGCGAGCTTGGCGCGGACCATATGGGTTTGGGTCACGGGCCGGTTCATTTGGCCCAGAGCTCGCAGGTCAGTCTTTAGTCCACTTCAGGTAGATTTAGCAACCTTCAGAGGGCCCAAAAACTAGATCCAAGGTGAGACGACTCGGGTCACGGACCACTATCATCTCAAAGCTTCAACACCATCCATACGATGCATTACTCTAATTTAGAAGAATGGGAATTTGAACTCGAATGCAAGAAAGTAGACACATTAAGATCATCTCTAACCCAAAGGGTGGAAACTCAATTTTTGAGTTTTGAGTCCAAAAAACTTCTCCAACCCATGTATTTTGGGAGGTGGAAATTTGAGAAATCTCAAATTTGGGGTGGAATTCCAATTCCAATATTGTCTAGACTCATATTTTTTGTGGGCCCAAAATCTTTTTTTTTTTCTTGGCTGGAAACCCACACGTGCTGACCAACATTGCTGGGCCCGCTGACATTTCTGTTTGGGCATGCAAATAAAGCTGGCGCACATTTCAATCTTGTTGGGCAATGCTATATTTCAAAACAAATCTGATTTGCCGTTTTTTTATTATTAAAAGTGAAATTCTATTATGTTTTGGATTTTAATTTTTTTAGGTGAAAATGTTTAGAAAATTAAATCACGAGTGTTGAAATAAAAATAATGTTAAGAAAAAAAATTAGGGGTTAATCATTCTTAAATAATTTAATAAAGTTGCAGACTCAAATTATAAGTCTGCAAGGTTGGAGGAAAAAAAAATTTTGAGTCATGAAAATACATGAATAGTTGTATTTTGAATTGTGAAAATTTGAGTTTAGCCCCAACATGATTGGAGATGGCCTAATTGGCCTAATTCAAAATTGCAATTGGAGTTGAGTTTTTTAAACTTCTCTGTTTACCATGTCATAGAGGTGGTTTTTGACCTAAAACCATCTTACATGTTGGGGTTTAGAATTCTCCAAATATGGTTTGGGTTCATAATTTGTTGATGTTATTATGTTCTTTGGTTTCTAAGTTCGAAACCCTTCCGCGCATTTTTTAATTTTTTTTCACCTATACTTCTAGCTCAACTTACACAGACTTGTTAATTGTTGGCTTATATCTTCCTTTGGAGGCCTTTTGCTTGGGGCCCTATGCAGTCATACAACCTACACACCTGAGAGGGCGGGCCTGTTAGATGGATTGCTAGTAATTTTCTACCATCCCTTTGTTTGGATGAAGGAATTGAAAATTACATAGAATTTTAAAATGATGGAATTTAGATTTCCATCATTTCAATTTCTAGCAATTGAAGATTTCAGTATTTGGATTTATGTATGTCGAATTTTGTAAATGGCACTATGGAAATTGTGAAATGAGGCCTATTTTGGTGGAAATTAAACTCAGGAATTTGATGCCCCAATTTCCACGACTTTTTCCGCCGTCATTTAATAAATTTCGTGCTTAAGTTGCCAAACAAGTAAATTGTCAATTTCTCCTCTAAAATTCCAAACTTTTAGCTAAATTTTGAGTTATTTTTCCTCATCTAAATAGAGGAATGTCTATTTAGGTAATTTTATAACATAACGAAATTCTAATTCAATTTTAATAAAAGAAGTGGTTAGAAAATAAGAATGAGGGTGGGAATAGCACCACTTTTTGTTTAAATAGAAAAATAGATAAGGAAGACCAAGTGCACCACATGCAAACTTGAAGCAAGGAAAGACATTGTGTTACACATAGTAGGGTACATTATATATATATATATATATGAAAGATTAAATTATATTTTACATATTATTGTTTGAAACACCTTGTGCTCAACATGGAGAAATGAAAAAGGCATTTCTCCAGTATCATTGCAACTCTACTAGAACCATGTCCCTAAGAATTCACCCGCCTATGTATGATCTCTCTCACAACATCATGAGACGGACTCCACACTAAGACCACTATGCATTTTGTCAAAAATATATAACCGGCACATACAATAATCTTTACCTCTTCTCAAACCCTCTATTTATTACCCGACGTAGCATCATTCCACCAAACCCGAGCGAAAATTGATGAAACCAAATCAATTTATCAGACTCCAAGTTCAGGTTGCCCAATATTGTGCACGCCATTGTCATTTCCACCCTTTGCTTCAAACTCGATATACTTGTACCACTTGGCACATAATATATACACCAAAAGATCAGCCGTTGTCAAAGCTGCCAAGAGAAAGTAGAATCTATCCAAATGACCCTTGTTTAGGTTTCCAGGGATCCATCCTGGCATTTCATCTCTAGTAGAAACTTTCATCACAATTGTAACAAGCAAGCTACTCACATAGTTCCCAAGTGATATTGAAGTCATGCAAAGTGCACTCCCAAAGCTCTTCAACCCATCAGGTGCTTGTCCATTGAAGAACTCCAATTGACCAACATACATGAACACTTCTGATGCTCCTACAAGCACAAACTGAGGAACTTGCCAAAATATGCTCAATGAGCTTGGATTTTCACAATTGTTGCATTCTTTGACTGCATATTTTAACCTGAACACCTCCACAACTCCAGCTGAAACCATTGCCATGATTGCAATGACAAGACCAATCCCCATCCTTTGAAGCTCAGTGAGTTTTTTCTTTCTAAGCCTGCCAAAAAGCGGATCGAGAAACCGCCTGGAGATGAAGATAAAAGCCGCTACGCTGAGAATGTCGAAGCTTGACATGCTGGCTGGGGGAATGTGGAACCCTGAAACGGTGGTCTTCATTGAGGCACCTTGTTCTACAAAGAGTGATGCCATTTGAGTGAAAACTACAGAGTAAAGTATTGTGCACAACCAAATTGGGAGGAGTCTCAGTAAGCATTTCACTTCTTCTACTTGTGTCACTGTGCAGAGGCGCCATGGATTGTGAGCTCCCTTGTCCATTTCGTTCATCTCCTTTGATGTGATGACTGCTGCTCTATCCAAGAATCTGGTGAAAATGATCAAAACATATGGATTTTGTTTAGCACTTATTAAAATTACTGAATTAAGAGACCTATATTTGGAGTTCTTTTGGTATTTTAGTGATTTTTTTTTTTTTTTTTTTTTTTGCGTGGTTTTAATAAAAACAGTATAGCATAAAAGTGTTTCATACAAAAGCAGTCCCGCACACATTCGTGTGACTATTGATGTTATCTATTAAAAATATAATTTGTTCCTAAAAATAAAAAATTCTAGAAAAGCATATGAACTTACTTGAATCCATGGGTGTGAACTATGTTCCTATCATTTGGAGAGCATTCCTTCCCATCTTCCTCGTACAAATCCTCCCCACTTGGCATCATCTCAACCTTCCATTTTCTTGTTGCAGCAACCATCACCCGGCAAAACCTAGAGAGAGGGTTGCCCTGAGGCTTGAAATGCCTGTACCTTGGAGTACCACAAAGAAACAGGACCAATGCAATGGCAGCAGAGCCAGTGGATGCCCAAAACCCTAGAGTCCACATTCCTTTATCCTCAAAGTAGCCCAAGATTGTGTTTGAAAAGAGAGAGCCAAGATTTAAAGCCAAGTAGAAGTAGCTAAAGAAGGCTATCTTTGACTGCCCTTCTTTGGGGTCCCCTTGGTCATCAAACTGGTCCGCCCCAAATGTAGCTATGTTAGGTTGGTAGCCTCCATTTCCTAGGGCAATAAGGTATATAGAGATGTAGAACAATCCGATTACAAAGGCTGAGTGGTCTCCACATGGAGTATTTTTATCACCGCAGCCTTTCGGCTTGAGTAAGAATATGTAGGTCGATAGTGATAACATCGACAAACCCTGTGGAAAAAAAAAAAAAAAAAAAGAACAAACAAACAAACAAATTTACATGAGTATATACTTGCAAGAAAAATATAGATAATGTTGAACACAATATACCTAAAGAAGAGGAAAGAGAAGACAATCTATAGAGTTGAATTTTATTTATTTTTTAATCACAAGGGCAGGGCGAAGCTAGAATTGTAAAGTTAAGGGGGCCGAAGTAGAAAATATATACAAATATATAAAACATCTAAGTATTCAATAATTACATGTTTAGAGCTAAATGTTTATAATTTAGTCATGTTTAATTTGTTTCAGAGAGAACTATAACTTAAATTATAAGTTATTTATTATAAATTCTATATGTTATATATAATATAATAGAGGAGAGATAAAAACATGGGTGGCCAGGGCCACTCCAGGCCTAAGAGTGGCTCCGCTAAGGTATAAATTATTTCTACCACTTATATGCAAGTGAATCTCATCTTTGTGAAAGATGTAGTTAATCTTAGTTTTAGAATAATTCTCATCTTTCAAGTGTTTTTTCAAACAAGCACTTTGAATTTTTATAAAATTTTTGACGTTCTTCAAATAAAAGCAATTCCAATAAAAGCATTTATAAGCAAAAGTGGGTCCTACAAAAGCAAACTCCAAACTTGCCGCAAAACAGAAAAATATGATCATATGAGGTACATAATGAAAGACAGCACAAGTCTTCTACCTACCCCAGTAGGGGTCAGTGAGTGACTGAGGAAAGCGCCAAGAAGAGAGGAGGTAGTCACACCAATCTTTATTATTATTATTATTTTTCAATAGACCATGTGATCCCTATTATTCACAGAAAATAAAAATATTCCATACAAATATTTGAGATTGAGGGCTTGTTCGGCACGGCATCTTAAAAGGCTGAAAGCGCTTATTTGGCAAAAAAAATTAAAAATGCTTTTGTATCATAAAAGCTTCGAGGAGTAACTGGCCATAAAACAGAAAAATATAATCATATGATGTACATTATGAAAGACACAAGTCTTGTACCTCCCCCAGTTGGAGTCACTGAGGAAAGCGCCAAGAAGAGAAAAGAGGTAGTCACACCAATCTTTATTATTATTATTATTTTTCAATAAACCATGTGATCCTTCTTATTCACAGAGAATAAATATATTCCATACAAATATTTGAGATTGAGGGCTCGTTTGTTGGGCACGGCATCTTAAAAGGCTAAAAGCACTATATAGTATTAGGTAGAAAAAATTTAAAATATGTCTGGATCATAAAAGCTTCGAGGAGTGTGATTCTAGATAGACCAATAATCGCTTCTATGAAGAATCACTTCTCCATGTAATCATGTTAAGTGGTTTTAAGTAAATTTATGGAGA